CATTGGCAGTCATGTACTCTTGTGTTCAGGACAGCCGAAAATTAACTTCCTTGAAAAAAGTGAAAATGTTCATAAGTTATTAATTATTATGATCATTTGCAAGTTCTATTTCAATTTTTCAAATGATTATTTCGTAGTAATTTCTCATCCTAATTCGGCAAATAGTGGGATCACAACGGATTTGAGCAGAGGCTCTTCCTTTCGTATTTCTTCTTCCTGCATGCTGTTCAGTTAAAGTGCTATACAGCGATTGGCAGTTATACACACATGTATTTGTGACAAGTAATATACAGGGTGTATCAGAAAAAACTGAACAGATTTGAAATTGCTCTCAATTTCGCAAAACACCTATTTGTATCCGGGTTTTTATATATATAGCTTCTTTGGGTACTTATAATGTAGAATAATGAAAAAAATTTCTTGAACTCAAATTTTGTGAACCAGGGGGGTGTGTCTTTTCCAACAAATTAAAAATGGCTCGCGCACAAAATTTAAAAGTTGTAATCATATTTTGAGTTAATAGATGGAAACTTTGGCGGGCTTTTAATTACTGTACAAAATTTCAGACAATTTGATTTAGTTTAAGCCCTTTAACTATTCACGCAAAGTTACATTTTTCCTAAAAATCAGCTTTTCGCATGCTTAATTAATGCATTTGCCTAATTTGCATATGTCAGCGAAAAGCTGATTTTTTAGAATAAAATAAATAGTTAAAGGGCTTAAACTAAACCAAATTGTCTGAAATTTTGTACAGTAATTAAAAACCCGACAAAGTTTCCATCTATAAACTCAAAATATGATTACATCTTTTAACTTTTGTGCGCGAGGCATTTTTAGTTTGTTGGAAAAGACACACCCCCCTGGTTCACAAAATTTGAGTTTGAGAAATTTTTTTCATTATTCGACATTATAAGTACCCAAAGAAGCTATATATATATAAAAAACCGGATGCAAATAGGTGTTTTGCGAAATTGAGAGCAATTTCAAATCTGTTCAGTTTTTTTTGATACACCCTGTAGTGAAATTTGAGTTATACCAGTCAATGTTCAGACAATTTTAGAAAGCTTGAAAAAATCACTATCAATTACTACCATATCCTGTGGATAGCCCTATCCAGTCATTGTACAACCAGCCCTTGTATGCAAAATTCAGATACAAACATTGTGAATGATAGAGAATGTTTCATGACAAAATAATTATTAACAACAGAAAAGTACCTGTGGAGGATAGAAGTTTGTTAGGTATCCTAATGGATACTAAATTTGTAAAGTCCAGTATCCAAATTTCAAATCATGGGATCTTGGCACCACAAAGTTCGAGCCCAGCATGGTAACAGCACAATCACCTTCATTGTTCATTATAGACATGGATATGTTACATTAATATCATTGTAAGGAACTTAGGGTTGCTTAGTTTGCTAATCCTCGTATGTATAGTTACGCTATAGCATTTATAATTACATGATTGTGACAATTTTAGGATGGAGACAGATTTTGGCGAATACCTGAGTGTTATGTGCGAGGGAGTAATATAAAATACTTGAGAATACCAGATGAAGTGAGTGATATGAAAACTCTAGACTGTTCATGATAATTGATATTGATTGAGCATTACTTATCAATTGATTGAGCATTACTTATCTATAGCATCCTTCATCCAGAGCAGTAGCAGACAATTTGTTTCACCATAGGATTGATAAGACAACCTTTTGTTGCTGGAAACCGTAGCTCTTTAATATTAGCTCTTTAATATCAGCTCTTTAATAGCTCTCTAATAATATTTGTCACAGCTTTGTAACACAGTTATTCAGCTGTCAATCAACTGTTTTCGGAATCATTGGGGGTTATACCACCCCCTATTGTTCGTCACTGTTCCAGAGCATCAGTTACAGTTGTGTATATCATGACAAGGTTACTGGTTTTTTTTTCATTTCCAAGGTGATAGATATGGTAAAAGAAGATATTTCAAAAACAAAAGGCAGAGGACGACCAGGTACAGTATATGCGCTGCGGGGATTTTAGAGGAGTGCTTTCCTACTAAAACTAAATCTTCCGAAACAATGGTAGTAGACTAAAATGCTTGTATAAATCCCTGTTAAGGCCACTCCAAATTAGACTTCACTTTCCCGTCCTCCGCCCGTGTCTTGCCTGTCTTCTAGAACTGGTTGCATGATTTGTCCATTATTGCTAACTTTTTGCCATTATTTGACCTTTATGACTAAGAATAACGAAAATCCACAGTTTTCAAGAAATACATATTTATAATATAATACGTAAAAATCGAAATAAAATTGTTGGAACTTTTATGAAAGAACTAGCTGAATGGAAACGTGTTTCTATTTAATTTCATGGAATAATGAATGGTCGTATCAGATTCTTTCAGACACCATAATGGATAATGGAAATGGACCGCACGCCCGCGAGTAATTTGAAATAAAGGCCGGACGGGAAACTAAAGTTAAGTCTAATTTGGAGTGGCTTTAAACAATAAATTAAATTTTACTAGAGTTAAACGTTTAGTAGATTAAATTATTAATGTAGTGGAACGTAAGTGTCATGGTGTGTACATCAGCTATAAAATTAGAGAGTTTTAACTGCTGTATGTAAAAATAAAAATCTCTATCTAATAGACGCGTCTTATCTAGTAAACGCTTTCTATCAACGTACGAAAATTTAGTAAACGGCCATCTTAACCTCTATATAGGCCGTGGTCGTGGTGGTGGCAGAGGCGGTCGTGGTGGTGGCAGAGGACGAGGAAAACCAAGAAGAGATCAAGACGTTGGTGGCGAGAGATAGAAGCGTCTTCCTTGTTCGTCAGTTGTGTGAAACTCAAACTCAATGTACAAATTAAGTACCATAGTGCCAGTTTTAAAAGCTGCTGATTATATGCTTATAAGGGGTTGTTTACATGATCCAGCAGTTAGACGAGACGGGATGGAAGGCAGGATGATTTTGATGTATTGAAATAAATTAATTGGCTTAAAAAAACGAAAGTTCAAACGCCCGTTAAAAGAACTCAAATGTTGTCGAGAAGATGTCGTAGTTCAAGAAGATTATTATTGCCGCTTGAGCGACCTTTCGTTTACAATTATACTGTAATCTTTCACTAGAAGAGTAATGTAGTTTTGCTGAATCATACACCGTGACTTCTCTACATCAAAATTATCCCGCCTCACATCTCGTCCCGGCAAAGCAAGTGATTATATGAACAGCCCCTAAGTGCTTTTATTCATGTGCATCAGTGCATGATATATTACGGGAACCACTGAGTATTTTAATAAAATGTAAAACAACGATAACTCCGAAAATAAACATTTTAATATTCTAGCTTTCGACTAAGATCTTACGCCCGTATTCTAAGAGCTCACTCACACTCAATAATGAGTGGAAATTCAATCTGAGCTTCTCTCGTGTGTCATTGCTGTTTTTGAATAGCTGGAGGGTTAGTGTCGTACCTTACTATGTGACTACTCACCCCTCCAGCTATTCAAAAGTTAGTCGAAAGCCAGAATATTAAAATGTTTATTTTCGGAGTTACCGTTGCATGATATATACTTACTATCAATGCAATATGCGTGACATACATTGTCACTCATTTAGTCATTTACCTATCATGATATCAACTGAAGCAAAAATTTTAATAAAGAAATATCGGTGGTTGAGTTAAATGTATATTATATTAAGTGTAGATATATGCATGTACAATATCGATTACTGCATGGACTCATTTTTTCGTTAATGTTTTACTTTCGATTATTAATAAAGCAATTGGCCAAGTGAAATACACTTTTTACTTGTCATGGTTTTAGTGATGTTGTGATAGCACTATCTTTTTTATGTACTTCCATCGTACGAACCCATGCATGCAGAACATGCAAGCCATGTTTATATGCCTATATCTTGGTGACTTCGTACAAATATATCCTGATATAGTTTACTGATGCAGTTGTTTAAATAGCTTGGTTAATGTTTGCAGGAAAAACCGTAAGCACCTGGTGAGCAATATTTCAGGCACGTTTCAGACTTTCAGGGAGAACAGGTTTTTACAGAAGGGGCTTATTTGATGAGAGGGTTTAATATAAAGGGTTTACAATATTTTTCGCACAGAATCATTTTATTATAATTGTTTGTCTGAAGATTACTATTGTGTAATTTATTTATTTTTTTCGATTTTAAAACGTGGATCATGATGGTCATGAGCGATTGAGCGTGATCTAGAGATGAACTTGTGACTTACATTTCTCGCCTCAGAGAGAGGGGTGTATTCTATGGTCAGGCTCTATGCTTTACGACATGCTTTACGCAGGCTACGTAACGAGGGTTGGCAACCAGGGTAAAATTTGGGGGACTTTTAAACAATAGAACGTAAGAGAACCAATTTCCAGGCATTTCAGGTATTTTGGTATTTACATGTACACCATTTTGGTCCAGTATTTTATTGTCAAAATAGATTGAAATACAGGTATAAAGTATCCTCCATTTACCTAAGATGAATTAATACTGAGCAGACTATTTGTGCAAACAGATCTAGCCTGGAATTTTAGGTGTACTGGTATAAAATTGATCCAGTCGGGTAAAAATGCTAGTAAAACTGCCACTTCAGTTTAATATGCTCCCATGGCAATGATTTTTTTATTCGAAAAACCGCTCAGTAGATGCTTTTCCCCAAAATTATGCTCCTTTTGGTTTGAAAGATGCTTTGTTTTATTTGAAGAAATGCTTACATAAATAAGGCGTCGTCCGTTCCCAGGTCTGTTCCATTCAACTTTGCAGATTTTGGCTATTTTTGTCAATGGCATTTCATCCGAGACCCGAGCATGCGCAAGAACGGAAGAACCTACTGAGGCATGCAGGTCCATCCTGCCACAGAATAAAGACATACAGAAGTGTATCTTATTAAAAGTGCGTAAGGGATTTTTCAGAGCAGTCCGCCATGTTCTTAGCAAGTGCCCTAAAGAGAGGCAGTCACCCCCCTGAAAACATATTGAAAATTTAATATTCCAGGGGGTGAATGCCTCTCTTTAGGGCACTTGCTAAGAACATGGCCGCCAGCTATTTCCACTATTTCAAGCGCCTTGGCGGTTTTGTAATGGAAGTTACACTTCTGTATGTCTTTATTCAGTGATCCTGCTCCTGGCTCAATTTCAGCACAGATGAAGTAAATATTTACCTCATCTGTGATTTCAGTTTCGTTCTGCTGCTACAAATTCACAATCACAAACCTGGGAAAATGGCAACAAAAGGAGATAAAAATGTGTTCGCGTCACCGTGGAACAATAGCGATATGGTTTTAGTAGTCGAAGATAAGGAAATCCATGTCCACAAATGGATTCTCATCTCGCAGTCGCCCGTATTTGAAGCGATGTTGGAAGGCCATTTCTTGGAAGCTACCCAACACAAAATCACTCTCAAAGAAAAAGATTTGAAGTCGATGAAAATGTTTTTGAAAATACTCTACCCTTACTGTATGTTTGGAGAAGCTAGAGTACCTTTAGATGGTGAAAATCTGTTGTCAATACTAGCGCTTGCAGATGAGTATCAGTGTGTAAACGTGATTAAACAGTGCATTGATGAAGCAAAAATCACACCAGAAATTGTTTTAAAACTTCTGCCTTATGCAATAAAGTATCACAAATCAGCACTGCCTAAATTCTATGAAGTTATGAACTGGAGCGTCCCAACAGCCAAGTTAGAAAAAGTTATTTTATCAGAGCAAAATAGTGATGCATCAATTGAGTTGCTGTTAGCCAAATGTCGCTTCCTGGAAACAGCGCTAATAGAAAGGCACGACATGATGACATCATTGATTGACGATTATTTCACCTTGAAGCAAAGTTCAGCCAAAATGAAAAGCAGCGATTCCTATTATTTCCAAGTAGTTCGACATTTTCCAGTTTGTAAGTGTCCACCAAGTCAACTTAGTGTTAAAAGTATCAGTGCTGTCAAAAAATGTAAAAGTTGTCTGGAAAGATACAAACAGAAATTTATAGCAACTATTCCCAGTTGTTCTGGGGCAAAATCCAACACAATGATGGAAATATTAAAACAAGATGATGAAATAGTCACTGTTGTGAAAAGATACAAAGAACATCCCACGAAACATTCTACTCAGATGTCATACTGTCGTAGTCCTTATTATTGTCCTTCTAGTCCTTCTTACAGTCCTACTAGTCCTTCATATAGTCCTACTAGTCCTTCATACAGTCCTACTAGTCCTTCATACAGTCCTACTAGTCCTTCATACAGTCCTACTAGTCCTAATTATAATACATACAGTCCTAGCTACTAGTCCTAACTACAAGCCTACTAGTCCATCATTGATACAGTCCTTCTAGTCCCAAGTGATCCCGTAGTGGTGCTAGGATTTCGTAAAGCCCAAATTGCTTTTATTTAATGATCCATTGAAAGGGGGCTGACAGTCATGTTTTAAGCACAAAAGATGAATTTTGACTTGTCATTTATCAGGAAATTCCAACATGTTTAATTTCCAGGACGATTTTGTTATTTTAATACTTTTTTTAAGAAATATAATATATAGCCTTTCTATTTTAAAAGTACTGTAATTTACGTATACACAAACAATGTCTATCTTATTTTATCTGTAATGCACTCAGTGATGTAAGTACTCGTTACTAAAGTAACGCGTTACTAATTACTTTTTGGGTAATTTTTCGTTAATTAATTACTTTTTGCACCAAAGTAATTTGTAACGTAATCAATTACTTTTTGAAGGTAACGAGTAACATTTTAAAAAATGTAATTTGCGTTACTTTTGGGCACTTTTATTATTTTCCAAAAAAACGACGAGGACGATGAATTTCTCAAGTCAAAGAAGAAGACAACCAAATCGCCTTTAGATACCTACTTGGCTTTAAACATTATTGATGCCACAGTTTACAATGGACACTGTGCTGCACCTTTGAAGCAAATGGCTTTGAAGTTAAACACCGTATTGCCTGCAA